GATTACTATTTTTACCCCTTAATGTAAATGGCATGCGTGAATTTCACAAGCGTCACCAAGTTTTTCACCTTTGTCTTGATTATGACGTTTGTTTTTTTTTTGCAGGAGTGCCATATAACTGCCCCGAAGATCTGCAACTCTGGAAATCGGAGTGGAAAGGGGACATTTTAGCCAGTTACGGTACTTCTTCTTCTTGTGGCACTGCCATTCTTCTAAATCCACGTTCTTCTTTTAAACTGTCAGATTTTAAAAGTGATTTGCAAGGAGAATTGCTAGCTGTTTTTTAGATGGGTCAGGTGGTCGCTTTAGACTGATTTCAGTCTATGCTCCTAATGACCCCCTTCATAAAAAGAATTTTTTCAATAATCTTTCCCAGTACTTACTGGGAATTGTCCATTCATCTTAGCGGTGATTTTTAATTTGTGTTCTTAATTCTGCTTTGGACGAAAATAGGTACATCTTCTGTCACCTGCGACATCGGTCACCAGGAACTTCGTTCAGTGTGTGACGATTTTAATCTGATGGACCCTTGGAGGACCACCTATCCTGATGATAGATATTTTACTTGGAGAAATGCCTCAAATACCATTCGCAGTCGGCTGGACCGATTTTATATTACTAATTCCTTGAAGTTTATTTACCATTTCACATGTGCCTGTCTACTTCTCAGACCATGATGGTGTTGTTTTTAACTTTAACCCTTCCTCTCTTCCTAGGAGAGGAAGAGGATATTGGAAATGTAATACTTCCATTTTAACAGATGTGACCTTTCAAGAAGCTTTTAGGTCAGCCTATTTAGGGGGTGGCGAACGCTCAAAGAAGGTTTTGATAACGAGTTGGATTGGTGGGAGGATGTGAAGCTCCGTAGCAAACGTTTAATTATAGCCACTCTTGCCGTCTTTCTCAGACCAGAAAAAAGGAGAAAGATCGTCTTCTTTCTTATCTTGAGCGGATCACTTCCCTTCTGAACCAAGGGAGCAAGGATGAGAATCTTCTTGCTGAATATAAACAAAGTTAAACTTTCTCTTTCTGAATTAGATGATTTTTTAGCCGAAGGAGCGAGGGTGCGATCCCGCATCCATCGTCTGAATGAGGGAGAGCACCCCTCCAGCCAGTTCTTCAAGACAGATTTTAATCATAAAAAAGCTTCTTCTATCTCTTCAGTTAAGCGCCCTGACGGGACTGTCTCTTCTTCACCCTCAGAAATTGTAGATATTTATAAGATTTTTATGCTTCTTTGTTCTCGAGGGATGAAACTGTTGACAGTTTCCAATCCTTCTTTTTAGATCAGATCTCTGATACTCTTTCCGAAGAGAATATTAATAATCTTGAAGTTCCTCTTTTGTCTAGTGAACTCGACGCTGCTGTGCGGGGTATGCAGAACGGCAAATCCCCCGGCAGCGACGGTTTGCCTAAAGAATTTATTTCACCTTCTGGGACCTCATTGGTCCAGATTTGCTTAGTGTTTTTAACACTTCTTTTGATTTACAGATTTTGGCTAATTCACAGAGAACAGGCATTATCACCCTCTTGGACAAGTCAGGTGATCCCGCCTTGCCTCAAAACAAAAGGCCTATTTCTCTGCTCAATGTGGATTATAAATTCTAGCTAAATCTCTTTGTAACCGTCTTTCTTTCAGTTCTATCTTCTATCATTAGCCCTTTTCAAGACCTGCGGGGTCAAAGGGCGCTCCATTCACGATAATTCCCGGCTTTTACGGGACCTTGTTTTTTTCGCAGACGAAGGAAATTAATTCACTTTTTATTTCTCTTGACCAGCAAAAAGCTTTCGACCGTGTAAACTGGTCTTTTCTTTATCAAGTTCTTCACAAGTTTGTTTTGGGCCTAATTTCATCAGATGGCTCAAAATATTATACACTGACATCTTCAGCCAAGTTCTTGCTAATGGTTTTCTTTCCGAGTCCTTTTCTTTACAGAAAGGTGTTAGACAGGGCTGTCCCCTGTCTCCTCTTCTTTATGTTATTTTCATCGAACCCTTCGCTGCGGCTGTCCGTAACGATAGGGGCATCCAAGGTATTTTTATCCCTGGCAGTAACAATTTGCAGTGCAAAATTTTACAATATGCGGACGATACAACTTGTATTGTTCGCAATATTTCCTCGCTTCATAGACTTTTTAGCATTATAGGTTTGTTTCAGGTGCAAGTGGCTCAAGACTTAACGTCACCAAATCTCAAGGTTTTGTTTTAGGTGAATGGCGAGAGAAACTCGGGGATCTTTACCCCATTTCTTGGACAACAGATCCCATTAAAATTAATGGCTTCTGGGTCGGCAAGGAGACATGGCCGTCAGAAATTGGAAGACCGCCTAGTAAAACTCCAGTCTTCAGTAGAAAACTGGAATAAACGCCACTTGTCATTAATTGGCAAAGTGACTGTAATTAACACAGTCCTTTTATCTTACCTTTTGTATGTAGCTCCTGTCTACCCGCTGCCGGTCACCGTGGAGAAGAGGATCAACAAGATCATCTTTTCTTTTCTATGGTCCGGTAAGACGGAACTAGTACGCCGGTCCACTGTTTGTCAGTCTGTCGACAGCGTGGCCTAGGTGTTTTTAATTTTAGATTTAAAGCTGATGCTCTTTTTATTAAGGGTTTCAGCTCGCTTTGTAGTCATGTAGCTCCGCCTTGGAGTTTTTTAGCTCTTTTCTGGTGTTCCATTTCTCTTCGTAACTTTCTTCCGACTGGTCTCTTCTCTAATAGCCGTCCTCATTCCTCGACGGTCCCTCGCATTTATGTCAAGTTCTGTAATCTCATCCTTTCTCTCCCTAATGTACTGTCTATTAACTGGAACACCGTCACCTGTAAATAATCTTTACAATGTGTTTTTTAAATCAAGTGTCAGTGGCGCTTCCGCGCACAGACATCAATTATGCCGTCCTGCATTGTTCATTTATTGTGAACAACTCTTTAGATCATTTCCTGCGGGACTTAAACTGGCGCATTGTTTGGAGCGCCGTGAAGACGGCTCAGCGCCTTTGTTCGTGGGGCATTGGCCGGGGTAAGTGCCCTCGGCCTAATTGTAACAGCAATGAGTCCCTTTTGCATTTGCTATGGGACTGTTCCTTTGTTACCGTGCTGTGGGATTGGGCCACGTACATGGGTGTACGTGTTTGCGGGCCCACTTTTTCCATCTCCCCAGCAGTGGTATTTTTCGCAGAGGGTTTTAACCCCACAAATAAGACACACCGTTTCGTCTGGTTTTGATTTCCGTTTTGAAGTGGCAAATTTGAAGTCCCGCTGCCAAGCCTTGTTCGACGGCAACTACGTTGACCGTCTGACCGTTCTCCGTTCTACTAAGTCTTTTATTCATAAGCGCATAGAGGCGGATTTTTTGCGTTTAGACCGAAACAAGTTTTTTTCTTTTGTGGAACGTCGGCGGCTCTGTTGTTTCTATCAGAGACGACCGCGTCCTCATCAATTTCTAGTCTTGCCCGCAACGGCTTTATTCTCCCCCCTCCTAGATATTTAAGTAAGTTTGTGTAGTTTGATGCTAAGTCTGTCAGGGTAATTTTTAGTTTTTCCCCCTTTTTTTTCAGGTTAAGGAGTAGAGGCGCCTGTCCCCTGGAAAGATCGAGACTTCACCGATGCTGCGGGTCCCCTGCAGCGGGACAGGCGTATCCCCATACTGAGGTTTGGGAGATGGACTTAGTATCCTTTATTGTTTATTGCCGTTGTTTTGTTTATTCTTCATCCGCCTCTTTGTCTGCTTTTGCTTTGCTTTTCCTTTTTTCACGGTTCGTCAGGTTCTTTCCTTGCTGGCGGGCGAGTCGCGCCATTGGGCCTGTTCCGTGCCGGCGGGCGGGTGTTGCAATTGTGATGCCTGTTCGTCGGGGCGGGCAGGTGCGGTGATGGCTGGCATAACCGGCTTGGAGGGGACGCGACGTTTTTTTTCTCATCTGCCTCTTTTTCTGCTTCTGTTGGCGCGTTTTGTCTAACTGTTTTTTTTCTTTTGCAGCGGGACTTCCCCGAAGAATAATTTTTTGCTGTAGACAGCCTCGTCTTCGGTTTTTCGATAAATATTATCGAATTAAAGTTTACTTGGTGTTTTTAAAAGTAGTAGAATACCTGTTTGTTAACGTATTTTTAGCTTTTTAACTGCTAGTCTTTTTATCACTGTTATCTGTGTGTTCCTTTTTAGAAATTCTTGATATAAGATTGGGACATTTTTCGTCGTTTGTGACATTTTCGTCGTCCGGTGACTTTTCCGTTCTCAGGTGTTTGTCCTTTTTTGGTGTTTGTGTTTTTTTTCTGTTTTAGGGCAGGGGGGCTCGAGACCCCAGCACACTGTACTTCGGCGAACTGGTAAGTCGACCTGCCCGGGACCTTCTTTGTCCCAATCAAAAAACAGTATCTGTTCTTTTCAGACAGCCACGCCTCCCCGGAGCTCCGGGTTGTCTTCGAAGAAAATCGAGTTTTTAGATCGAGTGAGAGGATAATTTTGATATCCACCTTTTTGTCTTGTTAATAGACCAAGTGGGTCTAGTTTTTTACAGATTTTTGTTTCATTTTTGGTGATATTTTGGGTGTTTTTCGTGTTTGGTTTTTCGTTGCTGGCTGTGTACGCAGTGCTGTACACGCCAGCCTATTCATTTGTACACGTCTATTGTTTGGGCCGTGGCAGCGTGCACGGCCCATTCGTTTCTACGTGTTTCTTCTTTGTTTAGGCCGTGGCAGCGTGCACGGCCCTATTCATTTGGGTGGGGCTGTGCGTGTGCATAGCCCCGTGAAGTCCTTTGTTGGGGGATTTTTTTCCTTTCTTTAGTGTTTGCGGGTTGGGACCCGTGTGCTTGTGCTGCGGCTTGTGACCCGTTACGCAGCCGGCTACCGCCGTTACACCCACCCGATTCAACTAGCCACCGTTGTTAATAAGTGAGGCTTGTGGACGTAATACGCCAGGTTATAAAATGACCGTTATATATTACCGTATCATGTAATACAAAGGGACACGATAATAAACGAGGCGCGTGCATATTGCGTGCAGGGCTCAAGTTAATGCATACATTGTATGCGAGGAAAACTGTCGATCGGTGGCGCTTTTCAAGATGGCTACTACGAGCTAATCCGAGCAAATCGTACGAAATACATCGACTTTTTTTCAACGTCCTAGTACATCACTAGTAAGCTACAAGTACAGTGAAGGTGAGTGGTGGGTGTTTGATCGTGTCTCATGACTTCTGATGTCAGCCTATGTTTGTTTTGTTTCGTTTGGTCCATTTCAGTCACCGATTGACAACACATGATTGAGAAAAATAAACCACATGTGGCCTATTTACTGGACTGCCTCCGTAAACATAGGCCACACATCCACATGTACAAAAACGTGTCGCACTTTGCCAAATTTTGATTTTCACATTTATTTAGGCTTAGTTTGTAGGTTTTTTTTGCTTTAGCGCGTTTAGAAGCATACTCACCCTCTTTAATATACATGTAGGCTAATCAGAAAGTGCTGCCTTTTTTCAGATGTCTATTTTTCGTGAAATTTCCAGATACATTTGCAAACGTTTGCGTATCACAATTTCAACATGAAAGTTCACAAAAATTAGACATCTGAAAAAGGCAGCACTTTCTGATTAACCTATAAAGAGGGTGAGAATGCTTCTAAAGCAAAAAAACCCTACAAACTAAGCCTAAATGTGAAAATCAAAATTTGGCAAAGTGCGACACGTTTTTGTGCATGTGGATGTGTGGCCTATGTTTACAGAGGCAGTCCAGTAAATAGACCATTTTTATGGGGCTACCTCCCCACCCCCACTTATTGATAAAGCCTGTGAAGAAATCGACCAGATAAGGAAAAACATCGTCATCACTGCCTAGTGTGTGTGTAACTGAGGAACTGAGGGAGTGAGATTTAAACTGTTAATATGAGGCCTACTTTATCGCGATCTTGAAGTGTAGGCCCCTGTTTTGTTTTGTTCAAATTAGAGTCAAAAATATTTTTTATTGCTCAAAAATCACCTTTACAATCAAAAGCAGACTTTTCTTCATCCTAATGACACCCATTTGGCAATTTTGAACAGATTCTTGGGGTAGAATTTAGTATTGTTTATTGAGAATATCGCCAACTAGCTGACTAGTTTGGTAGGTCCAATAATTTTAAAGTGGATTTTGTTCCCTTATAGGACCAGGCCCTACACTTCACGATCACCGTTAACATGACCATGCACTTATTTTCACAGCATATAGGGGGCCTAATTAACCCAAAAATGTGTTCCTTCCTCCATGGTCAGACCCAAGGTTTGTGAATAGCAAGTGGTCAAATTTTTCCCCAGTCGAAAATACCCCTCTTAGTCTTAGTAGGGTAATGTCTGGACAAAGATACCTATTGCCATTATGTTGGTCCTGTCCAGTATTTACTTAGATGTAGATGTAGAAACTACCAGGGGTAGACGAGGGCTAGGGAAAACAACAGTTTAGGTGGCAGGTAGGGCCATTTTTTTTTTCACGGCTTATGACATGTTTTGACATGGCTCTGAAAATAACTACCCCAACTCTATGTCACAATCATAGTATCAATTGGAGCTGGTGTTTCCTATTCTAAATCTGACTTTTAAATCGGTGATTAGCTTGATTAGGCCAAAAAAAAAAGTCTCTCCGGTTTCTGGTATGCGCGTGTCGCCGTAGCCATGCGCGTCGGCAAAATGAAAAAGTTTTTTCCAATGAAAGATGATGTCTCAAACCGCCAAACTCACTGGTTTGACTGGAATCCTGCTGCTGCACAATTTTAACGTGTTTTTAGATGGGGTTATGATCGAGAATAAGCTTTATGTGGCCTCTCTGGACTCCCATATATTTTTCACTAAGTTTAGTCGGGCACCATTTGCAGTCATCAGCTGACATTTGAAGCAAAAAAGTCCGGTAAAAAAAAAGCCGCGTTGCCGCACCACATTTTGGACAAGCTCCATACCAGAAACCGGAGACTTTTTTTTTTGGCCTTCGGATGATATTTGTCAAAAAATACAAAACAAGAGTTCTGCTTCCGATAACATGGCATTTGAAATTAGGTTAGGTACACAATGTACATGTAGGTAGGGACTAGGTAATGTGTTTTTTTTTGTTTTTGTTTTTTTGTACGATCATATGAAAGTTGCCTGCGTGTACATGTAGTCAGTCCAGGGTAAAAGTAGCCTTAGTCAAGGCGTTTGCCATTATCTGTCCATACGGTATTTGGTATTCTTGGGTCGAGACGCTCCTTGTGTTTTTATTCAACCAATGTGTAATCAACTCAAAACCATGAATCATCACGGATAGAGGGCACCATCTCCTGACCAATCGCTACCACACACAAACCGCTATCACAGCATCAGCCACGAACTGCTATCACAGTGAGCATCTCGGTGCTCTCCTATGATATCATGTGACATACATGTAAAGGTAGTGAGCTCAACATGCATACACATGTATTCAACAATGTTCATCAGACTAAGTACATGTACGAGGCTTCAACACATGCCAGCATATCTTATGTCATATGTCTGCTTGAACGTACATGTACATGTACATGTACGTGTGTTGTCTGTAAAAAAATCGTTCAGCAATGCCTTTTAGTTGTGTGCAACTGCTAGGCTATTGGTGGAAAGTTTTGATGAAGTGCGGCATAGTGGTGGTAAACATGTTACTAGCAAAGCTTTTGCCGACATTTGCAACTAAATGTAAATGACTAAAATAACTTACATGTAAAAGTTGTGATGGAAATTTATTTTATCTGAAATATGGATAGTTCTGGATCCATGTTATGAGCACTGAAAAGATGGTTGTGCAGTTCCAGCTTGATTAACATTTTGGTTTCGCAGATGCCGGAAAACCAAGAAAAACGATCATGTTTTTTGTAGTCTGGTTCCCTGACCCCACTTAAGATAAAACGGAGCAATTTATATACGTCAGAGAATTGTAAGGACATCAGGGAATTGGTCTAGCTACGGTATCTTGTACCCGTTCACAGGTGTGTGATCGATTGCAAAGAAAGAGCGGATTAACTACATGTAAATATGATAAATTGGGAGGAGTATTTGAGAAAAAAAACTCTTCCACCTTTTCTGTGAATGTGGAGGAAGAGGCTGTAAACACAAGGAAATATGCTGCGAAGAAAATAAAGCAGTGCACTGCTGGTCGGCTGACTAGTGTTGGAAATTGATTAAAAAAATAGCATTTTAGCAAAAAATAGCATGTCCAGTAATTATATTTTGTTAGATTTTGGTAGTTTTGTTTTGTGATGTTTACAAATGTTGTAGGCCCTATTATCCCTGTAAACATAAACTCTGGTTCAATAAGGGCCAAGGTACATGTAAATGTCACTTTTGGTAATATGGTTTGAAATGTTCTCATTTTGTTTGCCAGATGCCTAAATATCGGCCAAACGTTTTTAAGCACAAAGTCACTGTTCTCTCTCGGTCATCAAAGGGAGGAAGATTTAAGCGGAAGGATGTACCCCTGAAGGACCTTTTTTCATCAGGGCCCTCAGATACCCAACAGGTACTTTTTAAAATAGTTATGAAAACTAAGAATAATAATGTAGTATAATGTTATGTACATGTTGCATTTGTATTGCACAAATTTCACGTGATATGCTGAAATGCGCATCATAATTATTACCCCTGTTCATCATGAATGAGACTATTTTTCTGCAGCAGCTTGAGATCAGTGCAATTTGGTCTCTACCTTCACAGGTACATGTACCCATTTATACTCCTGGGTGGAGGGAGGTAATCACAGTAAAGTGTCTTGCCCAAGCGTGGAAACACAATGTTCCCGTCAGGATTCATACCCATGTACAATGTACCTTGGCAAAAGAGTGAAACGTCCACTTCGAGTTTCGAAGTAGTTATTTCTATTATAATGCACAATCAATACAACAAACGACTATTTAGGGAACATTTTTTATGGACCCCATCATGTTTGTTAAGGTAGCGTTATACATGTACTGTATTATACAAATAACGAATGTTTGTGAGTGCGATGGTAAGAATAATTTCATGAGGTGACAGATTGAATGTTCGCCTCGTGGAATAGAACATTCAATCTGTCACCGAATGAAATTATTCTTTCCATCGCACGAACGTAAAACATTTGTTATTTGTTTTATACAACACCTTCCAATCGTCGGACAGCATACTGAATCTGTCTTTTTGTACTGGGAGCATCTGAGTTAGTTACAAGATCTGTTATTTCTTCATCGGTAAGGAGCATAAACCCTGTACTACAATCGCCTGCCATTTTGTTTGTTTACGCAAAGTAGCTATGTGTATAGCGCCGCCAGTCGAAGGCATTCGTCCTTACTGCGCATGCGCAAAGTGAAACGGTATAACACATGGGTATAACGCATGGTCGCACCGTACATTATACCGCATAATAATATGTCACGTGATCTACAATTCACCAATCAGATGACGGGGATTTATTCAGGTGTTGTATAAACATGAATAATTGAGGTTGTGTATTTAGTTGTAATGTACTTCTACATACTGAGTACTGAACCATGTTCACATTGTTCCTTGTTTTTTTTTTACAGGTAGCTGAAAATGATTAAATAATAGCATTGAGCTGTACAATTTTTTTTTTCTTTTTCTCTACACCACCTTGATTCAGAAGCCTCAGGAAATCCAACATGAAATAAGTGTTGCTCCCTGTACCTCTTCCACCTTTTCTGTGAATGTGGAGGAAGAGGCTGTTAACACGAGGAAATATGCTGCGAAGAAAATAAAGCAGTGCAATGCATGGGTAGGCAAGAGGCTCTTATTAGAGAATGCCTTCTTTGAGAGCAGTGCTCCTCATCTTCCATGTTGCTCCTGTGGGACAGATGAGGGAGACAGAGTACTGTGTCTTGACTGTGGCCCACAAGTCGTCCGCTGCATTGACTGCACAATGAGCTACCATGAAGATAGCAATCATCTCCACAAGCCGCAGTTGATTTTGGTAATTCTTATCTCTGTGATATTGCCATAGTGCAAATGTAAATTAAAATCAAGCAGAATCTATGGGACAGTTGTTATGAAACAAATATTGACTGTTATAAATTGAACCTGATGTACTGTACATACATGTAGTAAACTAGCCTACCTCGGTGATGCATGATGCATTTTATTTCCGCTCATCTTTGCCTCCGTAAATATATAATGCTTCATGTCAGTATATTTCATTTTACTTCAACTCTTAAAGCAGTCCTGATGTTGTGTGGGTGTGTGTGTTTATGGTGTAAATCAAGGACACAAGTTCAACATCATCAATGAATCGAGGACAACAGGAACCAAATGGAGGACATGTCGATTAGAAAACGTGTACAAACCCAACGAGAGCAGTTGCAAAAAAAATTGGTGTATAAATAAAGGAAAAGGGAAGGGGAACGATAGAAATGTGGAAAATGTGTACAAAACCAATGAGAGCTGTTGCAGAAAAGTTCGTACAAACAAAGGAAAGGGAGAGGAACAAAACAAAATCCTTGATTTACACCATAAACAAACGTGACAGAATATGTGTTGGTACCGGTATGTTAAAACCTCTATACAAACTTTTGTAAATTTCATATCATTGAGTGATATTTGAGTCATCAATGTGATGTACATACAATGCCCTCTCTTACCAGGATGGAATTTTGCAACCTTTTCCTCTCAAACCTTACCTGCGGAGAGTGGACCATGACTGTGACAGTCGTTCCCGCAAGACAATCCAGGTGTTTGATGAAAAAGGTACAACTCAAGTGGTTTTTGTCTCCATTTGTGGCTTTTCTTTTTTAACATGTTTGTGTGTTTTTTATTGAGAGTCTCACATATGACTGAAAATTAAAACAAATCATTGGCAAATATGTTCTTCATGCACTTGCGTTGCAAGAGCATTGAGAGTTCACCTTCTGACACATTTGGCAGGGAACTTTTTCTTTCAACACTGCACTTACATGTGTAAATTGTGTGTCCCAAACAAGAATACTGTTTCTGAAAACATTCATCGACCAAATTCAGGTATAATAAAAGAAGCAGTTCGCATACATGTATCCCCTTTATACATGTACATACACAATTCTTACATCTTTGTGTATTTTGCATTAACCATGTGTGTTATCGTAATGAATGTGATTACAATATTTGAGAACTCCATTTGAGAACTCCATTTGAGATCTCCATTTGTATGACCCTAACAGCTGAATCTCAGCAAATGCCCTCAAGAACTTTTTTTTATTTTGTTTGGTATTTTGCTCATGTTTCAGGACGACTTCACAACTGCTGGCTAGTTACATGCTCATGTGAGGAAGAATGTGCTTCTTTAGTCCGGTTAAACTTATGGCCAGCCTCACCAGACCAACCACGGGTAGCTTTTCACATGGATTTGATGAACCTACTGCATTTCCTCCTTCTAGAGGGGCATATGTCACTGAAAGGTGCATGCCAATCCTTGGGCTGTAGAAACGGACTTCCATTGCATGAGGTATGTGTGCTCCCTATGTTGGGCCGATAATGAAACATTGGACCTGGAGTACACTGCATAAAGTTTCATATACATGTAGGGCTTTGGCCACAATGAGTTGTTTTGATAGTGGAGACATTCTTTAGATTGTCCCCCTTTTTTCCTATAGAGTTGTGTTAGGGTACACAAATTTCAACCTGCCTTTGTCATAACTCTCACAAACTGCCAAAAACCCAACCACTACCTGTCCCGTAGCTTTTACCCCCTATAGATTAAAGTGTATAACAGTCAAAGCCCAATATGAAGTGTTTTGATGTATGTAGGTAAGCATAAATGTGTAGCGATGCCTCGGTCACTCACCAGTGCTGACCCACCACATCTATCATATGTCAATCAAGCGTGGTACCCTCAGTTAACAATACTACCACAGCCTACCAATGCATGTATGAGGCCAGTGTCACTGTTAAAACCTGATAAATGTGTATTTGGATGTGTAGAGTAATTCTTTCCAAATTGTCAGTGACAAACAGGGAGGGTTCCATTTTCATCAGTGAATCTAAACGGTTAATGAAAAAAATGTAAGGTGTTTAATTCTTTTCGCAGGTCAATTTATTGTATCACAACTTGGTCAGTGAATGCTTTGAGGAGTACCGGTATTTTCGTTACCGGTGCCACAACCTAAATGCAGTGCTGGATGAAGACATTAAGTGCCCAGCTTGTCCAAAGGTATACCCACTGCATCTTTTGATATAAAGTACTTTTTGTTTTTAATAGAAATAGTTTGGGTTTGTTGCTGATTATGTTTAGTTGGTTAACTTCAGTCCTTTTTCTCCTTTAATTTCTAATGTTTGGTTATGTACTGTTTTTCTGCAGGAAAATGGTGACTTGTTTGTTAGTCTAGACGCCAACTTCGGTCTTGTTAGGAAGCGAAGCTCAGGCGTGAGCTACACCGATGCAAAACACAAGTCCCTCCTGTTTGCCCCGCAGGAGGACGTAGACCACTTTGTAAACGTGTACGATGACCACAATATTTCTAATGTGAGTTTACAGAATTCCAGTTCCAGATGCACGTATTACTAATAGTCGGGGTATGTCAACATGACTTGTTTTCCAAAATTAAGTACTTACCACAAGCATGACAAGTAAGTTACTTCAATGTTAGTAAGATTTGAAGCCTTGCATAGCAGTAGTGTAAACCAGTGAGAGTTTGCAGTAACACCATGTGCAGAATCTTTTCAATCTCTTTATATTGTGTGCAAGATATGTACCTTTTTCAATTACAACTATTTTTCTCCCATGGAAAATAATCATTTTTCCTTAATAAACCACATCATCTGCATCTCCTTGCAGGACTGCAGCAACTTCCAAGCCGGCGACGTTCTTCGTGCCAAAAACAAAACCAAAAAACTGGACACAACAGGTGTCTTTGGAGCGTCGTGTCGGCATGGTTTTCCCCTGTCATTTCTCAACCTGCGTCATGGAGAACGGTATGTGTAGATTCAAATAGCAACATGTAACATCTTACATGCTACTGATATGTTTTCTCTAATCAAAGTTTTCATGCCAAGTGAAGTAATGCTAAGTTACTCTACATTTTCACATGTTTGAATTCTTAGTTTCATTTGTACAATGACAACGTGACCCTAAAAAACGGTGTGCATGCAGACATCTTTAAATTTCTTAATTTCTAACGAGAGGGAAAGGACCGTGGTTTCCGGAGATAAAGAACCAAACAGGAGGCAAGATAGGCTACTGTGATATTGCATTTCAGGTTAAGTACTACGCCAAAGATGACAATTTTGTCTTTCCTATAACAGCAAAAATTAATCTCACACTTCAAAATGTTACACTGTGGTACATAAATTCCCAATGTTTTATATGGTCATAACAGTTACAACTACGTGAAGTGCAAGTGTTCTTCATTAGTTATATTACCGAATATGCTATAAACACCGCAAAAAAGATAGTCCACACTCGTTGGAGGGTTTACAATGTTTAATCTGATCTGTATATGATACTGTCATTTGTATTGACCTTTAGGAATGTTGTAAGCTATATTTTGATACCCTGCTTTCTACTCAAGACTGTAAATTGTAAAATATTGGCAATGGTTTATGAAAAACGATGCACTTTGAAAAGTTGCAAATTTAATTTCTACTTGACATTGTGAAACTGCCCAATCGAATCAAATGAGGTCATTGTCGAAAAGTGTGCTTAATAACTGTCTGTATAAATGCTCCCAGCATGCTGGGGGGGGGATCGCGCATGTTCCACTTGCAGTATTTTTTTATATATTTGCATTAAACTGTTTGCATGTTTTGTGTTGTAGTATTCACTTTCATCGCCATTGTTACTCTGACAGTTCTTCGGCCTTCAAGTTGAAAATCATAACCATTCCCATTTTGTTTATCATTCTGATTTCTTGACTCGCTGTACGAAAGTGTCTAAGCGTTAAATTGGTATAGCGCCCTCTCGTGATTATGAATCTAGAAAATTCCAAAGTGATTCCAATTTTAGTCACATTTGTCCTGAAATCATTCCGATAAACCTCGCAATTATTCCTTCAATCAAACGTAAAGTCCCAGGTTAACCCAAATTTTCCTAATCATCTGTATGCCGTCCATCAGCGGCTATGCGTAGAAGCTAACAGTGAGTAGATTTATAGATGATTTTAAGGGATATTTTGTGGGGGGTTTTGTAATGGATAAATAACGTGGGTTTCATCACATGTTGTTTTATGGGTACATGTACGTACATTTTATTGATCTTTTTACTAAGGATTATGCCCTTATATTTAATCATTATTGCTGGTTAATTTAGTGTAATTTGGGGCTTATAATAGCTTATCTAATCCCTCAGTTTGTTAGATAATTTAGTTGATACTTGGGGAAATTATTACATGAATCTTAGTCCATTTCCATGTGTTTTTCATGTCACCTCATAAATGTAGGTTCCAATATTTATTATTGTATTAATTTGGTTTTCTTGTAGAACCACGGCCTACCACACGGCTTACACAACCTCCATTGCAGTTCACGGCTCCCATTCCACGGCTTAAAGTTTACATCAGTGAATTAACCTAATCAGCTCAGCTACTATCTTCATCATTGTAATGTGAGAACATTAATTAAAGGAGAGCAAATCAACCAATCATAGACTCGTCACCAGTCTCCTGTCCTGTCCTTTCTTTCATGGTCCTTCGAACCGGATCCTCTACACCAGCGACCTGCGGATTTTACCACAATGTCTGAACACCATGCCGATGATGTTCTGGCCGAGGAGAACCGTGATGAGTCTGTTGCCTCAAAGCACTCCGGCAGCCAACGCACTAATAGCTCATCAAGTTCCCGTAACTCACACCTATCCGGTCTTAGTGATAAGGATGCAGCTAAGATGCGAACACTCAGAAGAAGAATTCGTCTTAATGAGCTGGAGTGCCAACTCCAGGAAGATCAGACCGCTGATGAGCAACTTTGTAAACTTGACGAGCAGGCCCGCTCTGCCCGACTAAGAGCTGAAGAAGTGGAGCGACAGGCGTTGCGAGAGCGTGAGGCCCTCACCTCCAAATTATCCCGTCAACGCAGAGTGCGGATTGCTCGTCAAGAACTCTTGGAGGCTGAAGCCATCAGTGCCATGTTGAATAACGAATCATCATCATCACCATCACCATCACATCCTTTAATGGGTACAGACGATCAGTTACCCCCACAGAGTGCATCCTCAACTCCACAACCAGACATGCAGCAAACATCCACAAGTGTTTCATCCTCTGTTTGTCATGGTATTCAAAGTGCTCCACTTGTGACATCTCACCCAGACATTCAGCAAGCACCCCCATGTGTTTCCTCCTCTGTCTGTCATCCGACTCCATCTGGTGCCCCATCCTCGACCTCACCACCGGACATTCAGCAAACACTACCCTGTGTTTCGACCTCTGTTTGTCATGGTGCCCCAGTGAGTGCGACCTTACCCGCATCAGTGGTAACCAGTGATGTCACTCCAAGACAAGGCATTCCTACTCCAGGGACTTGTCCTCCGCACTTGCCATACCCAATGGCTTCTGTACCCTCCTTAACGGTGTCATCAGCACCAACCGTTATGGATCTCCTTGTTGCATCATCACACGGGATCCCCAAACCTACCCTGCCAAAGTTTTCTGATGGGAAGGAGAAAGAATTCGCCCTCCTCAAGCTGGCTTTGGTGAACCTCATTGATGTGCATCCCCATCTTTCCGAACAGTATAAGTTCCAAATACTGATCGACAGACTTGGTGGTCGAGCATTAAAGCTTGCCAAGTCATTCCTGTACGCCAGTCAACCGTACACCCAGGCCCTCCAAGCCCTCACTGACAAGTATGGACAACCCAGACAACTCGTGCAGAGTGAAATTGGAGCCATCATGTCCACTCCTTCAATCAAGTATGGAGATACAGATGCATTTGATGACTTTTCTCTTGATGTTCTGTCACTCGTTGGAATGCTTCAAGCCTTGGAGGGCGCAGAGGGAGTTGAACTTCGATGTGGATCACATGTCGATCATCTGCTGGGAAAACTGGCCCCCTCTCACCGAAACAGTTTCATGGAGCATTGCCTGAAGAAGGGCATACTGGAACCAAACAGCAGCAAGACATACACCTTGCCCCAGTTTGCAGAGTGGCTTCGCACAAAGTCACAGTCCCAGAGCTTCGCAAGTAGAGCTGTATCAAGTCACATCTCAGCAGGCTCTAAACCAACCCACCAACAAAGCCAGCACCGAGCCCCAAAGAAGGAGGTTTCCACAACTGTGTTCATGGCCTCACCGAACACAAAGGACAAACCCAAGTTCAAGCCTAAACCATACTGTCCCTACTGTGACAACAAGGAGCACTTCCTCGGTGGCTGCCCAGAGATCAAGAAGTTGAGCACCGACCAGATCATCCAATGGATCAAAGACAAGGGACGTTGTTGGAAATGTGGGCGAACCCATAAGCCAGAGGACTGCACATTGAAAAAGCCTTGTCATACCTGCAAGGAAATCCACCTCACTGTACTACATGATGCCGCCAAGAAGGCAACCAGTCATGTGTATAGGCTCAAGACGTCCAACCAAGCAGTCTTCGTGGACAAACCAACTCGTCCCCACAACGTCATGCTCAAGATTCTCCCAGTTACCCTCCATGGTCCAGGGGGATCCATCGACACATATGCCATACTGGATGACGGTTCTGAAAGAACCATGCTACTCCAGTCAGCAGCTGCCAGACTCAAGCTTCATGGCAATCCAGAGACTATGTTGCTCAGGACTGTTCGTGAAGACATTGTTGAATGTCAAGGCCAGTCTTGTACCTTCCAGATGTCAGCTAGAGACAAACCTGAAGTGATGTACACTGTAACTGGAGCCTTCTCGGCCAGTAACTTGTGCCTGTCCCAGTACACATATCCTGTTGAAGATCTGCAACACCGCTACTCCCATCTCCGTCACCTTCAGTTGCCCGTAATCAATAATGCTTCTCCACAGGTCCTCATTGGATCTGATCAGGCGGATCTCATCGTGGCAAGACATCCAATCAAGTCTGGCACACGTGGAGCTCCAGTTGCCATCAACACTAAGCTGGGTTGGACCCTCCAGGGACCTGCTGGAAACCAGAAGCAGATGAAAGAACAGAAGGTTTACAAAACTTCTCTGTTTCCACAAACTACCGACATCATGCAGCACGTGGAGAGGTTGTGGCAGGCTGATGTGCTACCGTACCTGAATGACAAGCAAGCTACCCGCTCTAAGCATGATCAGCAGGCAGTCCAGATGCTTGAGACCTCAACTCAACGCGTTGAAGTCAACGGGATACGGCGCTACGCCACACCGCTCCTGAGGCAAAGGGACGAGACGAAATTCCATGCCCCGAAAGAGGCAGTGCTACCGACTCTGAAGGGGACCGAGAAGAGACTCGACAAATACCCACAGCTTGCTCAGAAACACAACGAGCTAATCGCCAGGTTGGTCGATGCGGGTCACGTGAGGATCTTGCCAAAGGATGAAGCAGACAAGTCCGAAGAATCCTGGTTCATCCCACACCATACCGTATACCACAACGGAAAGTATCGACTAGTATTCAACTGCTCCTTCCGGTACAACAACCAGATCCTTAATGAGCACCTTCTGCCAGGGCCAACACTTGGTGCATCACTCATAGGTGTACTACTCCGCTTCAGACAACACGCAGTAGCAATCTCAGGAGACATCAAGGCGATGTTTCATCAAGTACGCCTCCTACCAGAAGACCGATGCCTCTTCCGATTCCTGTGGCGCAACCTACAAGTCGACAAAGAGCCAGACATCTACGAATGGCAGGTGCTTCCCTTTGGCTCGACTTGTAGTCCCTGCTGTGCTACCTATGCTCTGAGAAAGCACGCCTTTGACCATGAGAAGGACTATCCAGAAGTTGCAAAGGCAGTCGACAAGTCCTTCTACGTTGACAACTGCTTGCAGAGTCTACCAGTCGAAACAGATGCCAAAGCCCTTGTCCAGAAGATGCGAAACCTGCTTGCTGACGGTGGGTTTGAAATACGACAGTGGGCCAGCAACGTTCCTGCTGTAGTAGAAGATCTCCCACCAGATGCCCGTTCTGATGGCTGTGAGCTGTGGTTAACCTTCGGGGAGACAAATTCCACTGAAGGCACACTCGGAATGTTGTGGGAATGCAGTTCAGATGCCCTGCTGTACCGCCACAGACCCATCAGCTATGACTGCCTCAACATGAGGAATATGTATAAGATCCTCGCGAGCCAGTACGACCCTATAGGGTACCTAACCCCATTTACAGCCCGAGCGAGAGTCATTGTCCAAGACCTGTGGAAGACGAAGCGCAACTGGGATGATCCACTTGAGCCGGGTGATATCAGAGACCAGTGGCAAGCCTGGGAGAGTGAACTTCCCCACCTGACTGGAGTGAAGCTTAACAGATGCTACACACCACCAAATGTCAAGACAGAGGCTGCCCATCGCCAACTTCACATTTTCTGTGATGCATCGGAGAGAGTTTACGGAGCTGTGGCTTACATCCGAACAGAAGATGAAGATCACAACGTCCATGTTAGCTTCATCATGGCCAGGTCCCGTGTTGCCCCCAAACGGCAACTCTCAATGCCTCGTCTAGAGCTCTCTGCAGCCTTAGCCGGTGCCCAATTAGCTGATCTTGTCCAGAAAGAGTTGACTCTTCCTCTTGATGAAGTCATCCTGTGGAGTGACTCGACTACTGTGCTCACCTGGCTGCAATCAGAATCCTGCCGGTATAAAGTGTTCGTTGGCACCCGTGTCGCAGAAATACAGACCCTGACCGATGTTGACAAGTGGCGGTATGTCGACACCAAGAACAACCCCGCAGATGACCTTACGAGAGGCAAAACCCTGGTTGACCTCAGCCAAGCCAACAGGTGGAGAGATGGTCCTTCTTTCCTCTGGTTGTCTCCTGACACATGGCCAGCTCACCCGTCTACACAGACAGAAGACCCATCTGAGTTCAAGAAGTCAACCTTCTGCGGTGCTGTGGTCGTCATTCAGCCCAATTTACCTGATCCATCCGAACATGACACCTGGAGTGACCTTGTTGCAGCTACCATGCAGCATCTTCATGGGGCGGCCGAGGATGCTGATCCTACCAAGTTGGTTGAACAACGGGTAGAAGCCGAGATGTTTCTTTATCAGCGTGCTCAACAAGATTCCTTCCCAGAGGAGATTGCTTGCATCCAAGCAGGCAAAGAGCTCCCCCGTGGTAGCAGACTCCTGCAGCTTGCTCCAGAGTATGACGAATCTTGCGGCCTCATCCGAGTGGGAGGACGTCTTCGTCGTACCCAAGATCTACCCAAAGACACCAAGCATCCCATCGTGATGAATCCAGCTCATCCCATAACAAAGCTTATCATCCGTGACTACGATGAGAAGTTGCTCCACTACGGACCTGAGCGCATCCTGGCAGAGATCCGACGTAAGTTTTGGATACTACGCGGAAGAGAAGCAATCCGAAAGCATCAACGCCAGTGCTTCGAATGCCAGAAGTGGAGAGCTAGCCCTCAAGTTCCGAAGATGGGAGATTTGCCTCCAGCACGCCTCCGCCTCTTCAAGCCTCCCTTCTACTCAACAGGGGTAGACTGTTTCGGTCCAATGACGTGCAAGATTGGGAGAAGGAGCGAGAAGCGTTGGGGGATCATATTTAAATGTATGACCACCAGGGCCATTCACCTTGACCTACTAGACAGCCTCGATACTGACGCGTTCTTGATGGCCTTTAGACGGTTCATCTCCAGAAGAGGGAAACCATTCGAGATCCTGTGCGACTGTGGCACTAATTTCAAAGGAGGTGATAATGAGCTACGAGACGCCTTTGCTGCCATGGATCCCATCTTACAGCAGGAGCTTGCCAAGCACCAGGTTAAGTTTGTGTTTAACCCTCCGAAGGCTCCACACTTTGGAGGAACCTGGGAACGGGAGATCAAGTCCGTGAAAGATGGCCTGAGAGTTGCCCTGAATGAGCAGTCCGTCCCTGAGTCAGTACTTCGCACCGTGCTCATTGAAGTTGAGGGAATCTTAAATTCCAAGCCTCTTGGGTATGTCTCATCTAATGTTGCAGATCCCGATCCAGTCACTCCAAACCTTCTGCTGATGGGGCGGCATGATGCGACTCTCCCTCAGGTTGTCTATCCTGCAAGGGATCTACTTGGCAGACGACGCTGGAAGCATAGTCAGGTCCTCACTGATCACTTTTGGTCCGGGTTCGTCAAATCCTACTTGCCGACTCTCCAGGAGCGCCAGAAGTGGCATACCGACCGTCCGAACCTGACCACCAATGATGTCGTTATGATTGTCGACCCAGCACTCAGCAGAGCTCAGTGGCCCATCGGAAGAGTTGCAGAGACCTTTCCGGGTTCCGACGGTCGTGTCCGCACTGCCAGCGTGAGCGTTCGAGGTAAAACCTACACTCGCCCAGTGGCACGACTGATTAGGCTTCCGGAGGTCAGTGACGACAACCTACCCGATGGTGAACCCGACAACACCTAAACTGTTAACTTGTATCAATACTCTTGTGATTCTTAGGGACACTTTCAGATTTAGTAAATTTTATGCTCAAATTTAGGGGCGGCTGTACGAAAGTGTCTAAGCGTTAAATTGGTATAGCGCCCTCTCGTGATTATGAATCTAGAAAATTCCAAAGTGATTCCAATTTTAGTCACATTTGTCCTGAAATCATTCCGATAAACCTCGCAATTATTCCTTCAATCAAACGTAAAGTCCCAGGTTAACCCAAATTTTCCTAATCATCTGTATGCCGTCCATCAGCGGCTGTGCGTAGAAGCTAACAGTGAGTAGATTTATAGATGATTTTAAGGGATATTTTGTGGGGGGTTTTGTAATGGATAAATAACGTGGGTTTCATCACATGTTGTTTTATGGGTACATGTACGTACATTTTATTGATCTTTTTACTAAGGATTATGCCCTTATATTTAATCATTATTGCTGGTTAATTTAGTGTAATTTGGGGCTTATAATAGCTTATCTAATCCCTCAGTTTGTTAGATAATTTAGTTGATACTTGGGGAAATTATTACATGAATCTTAGTCCATTTCCATGTGTTTTTCATGTCACCTCATAAATGTAGGTTCCAATATTTATTATTGTATTAATTTGGTTTTCTTGTAGAACCACGGCCTACCACACGGCTTACACAACCTCCATTGCAGTTCACGGCTCCCATTCCACGGCTTAAAGTTTACATCAGTGAATTAACCTAATCAGCTCAGCTACTATCTTCATCATTGTAATGTGAGAACATTAATTAAAGGAGAGCAAATCAACCAATCATAGACTCGTCACCAGTCTCCTGTCCTGTCCTTTCTTTCACTCGCATATGCAGCTTTCACCATAGACTGCATACTGGAGAAAGCACAACCATCCGTCAAGCTTCATGTCATCTATGATATTGCCTGTACGCTCACTGCCCACTTTAAGGTGTGTTTTTAACTATACTTTAAACTAATTGTCTGATTTGTTTTATTTTTACTGTTGTCTGCTCGTTAGGTTTGTGAAAAATTGTAATCAGGCATGCATGTTTTCCTCGTATCTACTGATTTACTTGGGTTTTTTTTGCATCTCGTGAGTGCCTTTTTAAATTGAAAAATACTTTATAAAGTCTTATGTGGTTTGGAAATTCCTAATTTTTTCCGAATTCCCAGTTTCATGCCTGGGTAATGAACAATGTGCATCATGTTACAGGTAACAAACCATTTCATTTCCCACGTGTGTGTACACTAAAAGTTTTTATGTAACTCCCTTGATTTGTCACAAAGTTTATTTGCTTGAGTTTGTCTTTGCTTTTGTAGAAAAAAAAGGACAAGAAGCTTGAGCTGGATATGGCACTCCCTGTGTTCCATGCCTATGGGCACAAAATGGCTTGCCAGGTATGAATCCCAATGATGATTTAGTCATTGTTTGCAACAGTGATGCTCAACAGCATAGTAATCGGGGAAAAAAATATGTTATACTCCTTGATTAGTGCATGGTAACTTTTTGTTGCAATTAAAATTGATTGTGAAATGTTGTCATATTTTTTCCAAGTACATGTACTATTATCACCATTATAGTTAGATGTGTTCGTGATTTAAGATCAGTAGTTGATTAATTAACAGTAGTTAATTTGTTGTTCAAGTTTGTTCTTTGAAGAGCTAATAATTTGATGTATTTTATTCTACAATCATGTAGATAACAAGTTATGGTTTTGATATTTTTCATCATTCCATCAATCTCCCTACAGGTGGCATACAGCACCAGATGGCGCTGCGGTTACGGGCTGACAGATGGGGAGGTGATGGAGAGGCTCTGGTCCTACTTAAGGCGCTTCTCATCTATAACCAAGGAGATGACACCAGCCCATAGAGAAGACCTTCTTACAGATGCTCTTCTGCATTACAGCCGTCGGAAAAGAGCTGACATTGGTATGAGAACAGTTTTGGATCAACTGCATCATCCAAAATTACCAATATCTTCACCTTTAAAGTTTTGATCATATAGCTTGAATCAATACGTGGAGTAGGGTTTCTAATTTTTTTAACATATAGTTGTTTTGCACATACATGATTTTCAATTTCGATGCCTGGCAGCTGTTTGAATAGGTCAATGGTTTGCAAAAAAAAATATTCATGCCAACTACTGATATTTTTCACATCTCTCACAATGGTTTGTGTTGTATTGATGATGAGATTCGTGTTAACCCTGTCGGTTCATTCAAAATGCACACAGAGGCTTTACATAATTCTATGGAATCAGGGAATGCATTGCCTATTTGAAGGGAAAATACAACATAATTTTCAGAAATTGATGGATTTGGGAGATTAATATTTTACAGCAAATATTGTTATACTGACTTGCTTGAAGTTTTGTGTTCGTAGATTCTGGGAAAACCAAGAAAAAAAAGTTACGTTCTTAAAAAAAATTACGTTCTTGTAGTCTGGTTCCCTGAACTTGAATTGAAATGAAGCAATTTACAGATGCCAAGGAATTGTAAGGTCAGGGAACCAGTGTAGAAGGCTTGTACCTATTCAAAGATGTGAAATTGATTGCAAACAAAATTCAAACTAACTAAATATGGTAAATTGGGGGCAGTATTTGAAAAAAAGGCGCCGGTCGGCAGATCAGTGTTGGAAATTGATCCAAAAATACAACTTTTCTTGAAAATGTCAACTTTTCTTGAAAATGTCAGGACTGTCAGTCCAGTAAGGTATTCCATAATGATCTGGTATTTTTGTTTTTTGATGTTTGCAAATGTTGTATATTCCCTTTAATGTTCAAGTAAAAGGAAATGTGCTATCGCTGTCATGCATATTAGATGTTTGAAAAAATCAGAAAGGTGCTTATGGAAAATAGCGTGGGATTAGACATCGTCCGATAAATTTGACAATCAAGGAGAATTGTTTGCAACAACTTTTTACTGAACTTGAGAATATCAGCAATTACTTGTTTCTTTTTTTGTTTTTATATACATTTAGGCAGCAGCCTTGTACTTTTGATGGACAGAGCAGTTAGAGTTAAAGAGGATTCTAGCAAAGCACTTGAGGAAATATGTAGTGACTGCGCAGGTAATCTATGTCTATGAAACTTACACTTGACACAATAAAATTAAAAAGAGTGTGAAGATATATAATTGACATGAATTACATTGCAAATGACCACTTATCAACAAACAAAACTAAAATGTTGATTGGTCAATTTCCTTTCACATTATATAGATAAATACATATAATTATGTGATACACATAGTCTCCAGTTTGATTTGTGTTTAATCTGGTACTTAAGAAATGGGTTCTGAAGAATATCATTTTTAGCAATGCATTGATACATGCAAATGCCTTGCTTTAGTTACCCCATAACATGCCTTCTGAAGTTGTTTGGTTGAATTAGCAGAATTGTTCAATTTCCTGAAATAAAGATCATACATCGTATTCTACTTTTCCAGTGTCACTTAAAGATATCAAGGATTGGAGGGAAGCAGAAAAGTGTCAAGTCGATGTCTCAAAGTCATCCACAAAAGGTATCAATCTATGTCATCACCATATTCATAGATTTCTCTGGTGGATTAATATTCTATTTTTAACCCCCAAAACAGAAACATGTAGATGTATGTACATCGCCATCATTAACAGAGTTTAAGGGCCATCAAAGTTACCCATCAGGTATACTAAATTTAAAATAACATGGATGTTGGCTTCCTCACTAAAAGTATGTTTTTGTGTAGTCTGGACTCTATTTGTTCTTTGTCTTGTGCAGGTCAAGTCCCATGGGAGGAAAAGTATGTGCAGAAACTGCTGCATTATGAACAGAGAAAGTAAGTGTTGTATTGTATGTACATCTTCAAGTGATGTACTTTGTACATGCTTGGGACTGCTATAATAGTAGTACTATAAATTAGAAAGTAAATGTCTTTAGTGTCTGTAGTATTCGAATCATCACTCTCATACTTGAAAGTAGCTTGGATGTTCAGAAGTTTTGTCAAGAAGTTAAACAGCAGATAAATCATCATGTGGTGATCAATAGAGTAATTATCAAGCTACACTACTGCCGTGTAACATGAAGTGGTTCTTGCATGTATGGCGGGTGTAGAATTTTGAAAAGAAATGAGATCCCCAAGTTGCAAGTAGCAAAGACTTTGTGTTTGAATGTTACTTGTTATTTCTCTATTTGTGTGGACCTTTATACATGTAATTATTGGTATTGTGGCGGAATCTCCCGAGGTCAATTGAAACCAGAGGTCAGGGAAGGCAATCACCGACTGAGGTGAAAGTTCCCCTAACCTCAAACTATGTTTTCTGCCTCGAACCTAGGGAAGTTTTCGAGCAGCCTCTAGGCCCAGGGATGCAAGCTCGTTTTGGTGGAAATATACCGCCCAGTTGGATACTGATTACCAGGCCCTGTTACTCTAGTACAGAACAGAACAAACAGACGAAGAAACTGCAGAAATATTGGACACTGGGATACACAATTCTCTTTGTGGAAAGGAAATGATTGGTTTATTTAATCACGGACAATTCTGACTTGATTGGGAACTCTTTGATTTATAAGGTTATTATCGTTGGATTGTTATGATTGTATAAGTTTGAGCGCCTTAGCTGATCAGTATGCGACAAAACCCGTGTGACAATAAACTTGACCGAGTGCAGTTATTGACTACCTGTGACTATTCCTCCCAGGCCTCTATGTCAACCTCTGGGTCGACCCTCTATGTTATCGCACGTCTCTGTGAACCCACGACAACAATCCTTATGCCTGTACTTAGTCACCCTACTCTGTAAGTCAAACACTCAACTGCAACAATGGTACAAAAATGCACTGAATTACACGATAAAGCAATTCGGTCCTACCAGGCTAACTGGGTCACACCACGGGGCTCTGCGCTCCGTACAATCGCTCAACCACGGTACGAGAAGTCAGGCCGAAACAGCGTCAACACCGGTACACTGCACCACACACGGCCTCGCCAAAGCAAACGCTAGCTTCGTCACGGACA